GCAGAGTATGCTGCGTGCCTGCATGTCATCAACGTCGTGAGCATGCGCCAGGACTTTGCACGGAGTGCGAAAACATACTGGGAAGGGCTGCCCGCACACACACACACACACCTACAAAACGTTTTGCAGTGTCCCAAAGTGGCAAAGTTGAAGAGTTCCGGAGTTGCAGTGTTGAAGAGTTGAAGATTTGAAGTCAGGCAGACACCAGCGTCCTGCGTGTCGCACGGCTTCTGCGACTGTCACGGCTGCTGCGCATGTCGCAGCTCCTGCACCTCGTGCCCGAGGTTCTAATCTTGGTGACGCTTGTCTGCTTTTTTGGGTATCTACGATACTAGTTAGTAGGAAGGTTGGTAAAGCAGAACACAAATATAGGGTACGGGCATTATTGTACGCCGAAGTAACCCAGAAATTCGGTACAGAGCCTGCGCACGTTGGAAATTTGCGCAGCATCCGCCCAGCCGCTATCGCCAGAGAAGGCAGGGAAGAGCTGGGAGAGACGCTACAGTATGCGCAGAGAGCTGAGGAAAGCCATCATTGCGGCTTTGCGCTCTGTGGTATTTACTCTGGCTTTGCTGCTCATGCTGCTTGCTCGTGTTCAGAGTTTGTGCATCCTTACAACAACCCATCGGGTTTCAATTTCCAGAGCCCAGTTGTTGCGAGGCTGCTCTACGTCTTTGCCATAGCATTCCGTCAGATGACGCGTGGGACGCAGTGTGGCGAACAGTACTTTGCCAACGTCCCTGCAGCGATGCAGACCCTCTTTATTTCGGGCGCCCTCCTCGATGAGGTGGGCTCCCTCGTGAAGGAGTTGTTCGCCGAGAAGCTCTACGTTAGTTTGACGATGATGTACGTCTTCATCATCATGTCCGCCATTACTGCTCCGTGGCAGCTTGTGAGTGGCAGGCACAGTTGTGTCAACGACAAGGCATGCGTCGGTCAGCACGAAACGGCCGACTTTCGTGAGGGTTTTCTCATGTTCATGTCGCAGTGCCCGCTTAAGGTTATGAACATGCTGATTGGCGTATCTTGGCTTGTCATTCCTAGATACATTGCGGCAGACGGAGGTTTTGCATAGGCTTTTGTCGAGGTGATGTGCGAAGTGATCAGCGCCGTGGCCCATGCTGAGAAGGAGACGCTGCAGGTCCGATGGCTGAGGCGGGTGCTCGAGCGAGTAGCTGGAGGTTCTGACAATTACATTGACCAGCAGAAGCTCCCCGTGACTGCATTGAGAAATATGAAGAACATTGTTGACCTTTGCACCTATCCAGAATCGCCCAGAGACGTCAGGAAGTGGTGCAGCTAAGGTTCTTTGACATTCTGCGAGACGACGAGGCAGTAGCTGCCATGAAGGACATCGGAGTTGACATTATGAGCCTGGTGGACTTCGCAGATCTCATCTTTGAAGAGCCGAGGGTGACCAAGGACTCTGATACCGAAGCGCAAGACTTTCGGATCTCGTTCGATGACCTCGTGAAGCAGATTCTCCAGCTTCGTGGAAGTAACACGGCCACAGTGAAAGATATGGTCGACCTTCGGTGGTGGTTTTCCCAGTCTCTTCAGAGCAAAGTAGATGCCTCCGTAGAGAGGATGCTGTCGTCGAAAAGCCAGCTCTGTGTCCAGAAACATACTCCAGGACTTCTGTCAGGGTTGAGCTGATACCGACTCACCACAATTCACACACGCACACAACGTGTGAGTGCTTAGCTGCATCATTTTTGGCATGTTTGAATGTTTCATAGGGTCAGCACCAGTGGATGCAACCACTGGGCCGACCATCGTGTCTCTGCATTTGGCATCACATGAATTGCAGAGGCATGTAATTATTTACATTGATGGATGATCGTCAGAAAGAGAGGGAGAGATCTCCCTTCGGGGGGGATCATGTGCTGCGGAAGAAGAAGAAAAAGAAGAAGAAGAAGGAGAAGGAGAAGAAGGAGAAGAAGAAGAAGAAGAGAGAGGAGGTTTAAGGAGACAGGGAGACAGGGAGACAGGGAGACAGGGAGGCCCCCTCGGAGGGTTAGGTGCGAAGGATGGAAGGGAAGAACGCTGGGTAGAAGAAGAAGAAGGAAAGAAGAGTCTGTGTTGTGGAGTGCCCCAAAGTGGGTCGCGTGCTTCCCCGTGCAGGGGGGTTTTCCCCCTTTTAACAGCAGGACCGTGACAAGTTGTTCTTTGAACGCGCTTAAGCATGAAGTTTCCACTGGAGTCGGGGAAACAGATGCGCAACATCTTGGCGCACTCACGCCCCGCCTTGTGATGCTGCTTTGCGCTGGCAGAAGTCTGGTGCATTCAAAGAAGTCAGCGTCTGGCGGGCTCATGGCTTCAGTCAGTTACAGCTATACAATCTAGAATGAACCAGTGGGCCCTTATGGGTCGACCCTGTTGTGCATTGCTTCTGGGTTGAAAAGGCTCCATGCTTTTCTTGTCGCTGTGCCTGAGTGGATATCTCGTCCACTTTTGGATGTCGAGTTATGAAGTTCATAGGGGGAATGTGGGGATCGCAGTGCCCAGGCCCAGCCATACCAAACGAGGACTCGGCTTTTCCGCATAAAGTGTTGTCCAGGTTTGTGGCAGCTGAAGACAAAACTCCACCACGGACTCTCAAGGGCTTCAGTTGCACAATCTTCAAGCTTGCTTCACGTGCTCGTGAAATTCATGCCATCGTGCTCGTGAAATTCATGCCATGATTGTACCCGTCTGCAATTTTGTCTTTGGCTCTTGAAAAGGGGGAGAATAACAAGCTTGGCTGCGCAGACTAGAAAGTGCGTTTGTTCATCAAAGCAGGACAAGGTGGCGGTGCGCCTTTCAAGCTACGTGGCCGCTGGACTGCATTCGGGACCTGCACGGACGTCGAATGCGAGCTGCTGATAGTTCGTTGCCTCTGAAGAGAGCAGGCCACACACAGAGATGCGATCTATCACATGGACCTGGGCGCAGTGCGGATCTCACCGTAGCGGAAGCCAAGCCGTGAGACCCGTATGACCCATGTCCCGCGCTAGTTACACACTGAGTATAGTTTCATTGGAATGTTACGAGTTGATCTGCCCGGAATTTGGGGCTTTGGTTGCCGAGGCGCCCGTTTCAGCACTGCAGCATCCACAGTTCCAGCTCGAAGCTTGGGGAGAGCATCGGAAAGAGTGCACACACACAAAATGCAAAAGAAACATCGTGGAATCGTAGGTTGCGGAGAAGTGCTTCTTTAGTCTTACAGCACGGGTGTCTATACTGAAGGCAGGCCATCAGCAAAATGCGCAACCTGCAAGATGTGGTCTCTCATCTGCACTTGGGCCAATTTTGGTTTCCTGTCTTTTCTCGTGGAGTAAGAGCCCTGCTTCACCGACCGGAGTCGTTGTGGAGTTGGAGCAGGGTAAGTTGGCTTGTTTTTGTGCAGGTCTTCCCCAATCACGGCTGGACGTCTTCTGCGCATCGGCTGCAAGCAGAGACGTGAGCAGCGACTTCAGCATGTGCACAAAGTCCATATCACCTTGCAAGGCAGCACGCTCCGAGTTCCTTTCTGCGCTGCCGGCAGCGTCCACGGCCTGGGGCCGCAACAAGGCCTCTTGTTCGAGGGGTCCCCCACCAGTTTGCTGCACCAAGGCTTCCGGTCGGTTTCCGGAAAGAGTTTTGTAGAGGCCCCATCGTACGGATTCAGCACCAGCACGCAACTGAAATGGACCCTGATGATTTCTAGTGTGATCCGAAGCAAGGAAAGACAGCAGCTGGGTTCTTTAGCGTCAAGCATCCTTGATTCTCCTGGTTGCTGTCCCTGGTGTTCTTCAGTATCCCTGATCCTGTCTGTACTGTAGAGGCAGGCAGTAAGATTCCTCGAAGCCCAGCTGGGCAGCTCTTCACCACTCAAAGGCTTTCCAAACGCCCCGCAGAAGCTGAGCATCCACTGCATACACAGCCCTGGTCGGCTTCGGCAGGTCGCGGGCCGAAGCTAAGATGCCGCTGTTTCGGAGAGGTCCTTGGAGTTCAGACTTGAACGCTCATGTCAGACGTTCTAGCGGAGACCTGTTCTAATGCATGGCAACGGCCAGGTGCAACCACTCTGACAGAAGTGACAGAAGGGCACGCTGAGAACACCGCAGGTCAGGCACCGTAGTCAGGCCCGCTAGAAATCCACCCCGCGTGGGTGATTCAGAATGGTTTGACTTGGATGCCTTAGGGCCGAGCATGGTGCCAGTTGAAGTGATACCTCAGGTTTCATAGGTGCCATGTACGTTCAGACCTGTGTTATTCCCGGCACCGTGTGGTCGCAAGCGATATCAGATGTCAGTGACCACTTTGCAGCGTCGCCTGCGTCGTTGCTTGGCGCGAACCGTCTGTTTCGTCGCCAGTTGCTGCACGCAGCCCACGGAAAGCCGACATGGACATTGCCAAGATCTACGAGTCTACAGATAATTGGGCTTCCGGAAGCAAAGTTTCAATTGCAGCAGACGTGGAGGGGCGAGCCGAAAGAAGAAATAACGCAAGTGAACACGACAGAATTAATGAAATAATGATCCCCTCTGCGTTTCTCCAGCATCAAAAGGCTGTGTGGGAGCAATGCTGGAGGACTCTGTAGCATAGCTGTCTCCCTCACGCAACGAACACAGACCTCGGATAAAGCTGCTGTTCGGCCGGACCAGTATCCTAATATTGTCCATTGTCCCATGCAGCAAAGCCCCAAAGAAGCAGTCCGCCAATAAGCCAATCATCTTCACAGGTCATGCCGGAGCATGTCAGGCAGCCTGAGGAATTTGCCAGAAAGTTAAAAGGTATTATGGAAATCTATCGAAGTCAGCCGGCCAGGTCGCAGTGTGGATTCGTGCGGTCTCGAAACCTCGAGGATCCCGACCAATGTGCGAGATGGTTGATCAAGCAGCAAAGACGCCTGTGTGAAAAACAGCCGGGAATTGAGCCTGAGTTTGCACCCTGGTTTCAGGTTCCACAACGTTTTTGCTTGCACTCTTTTGCAGATCCCCTGAGCCCTCGTGCACTGTTGCAACACGCCCGTACAGAACGCAACTTCGGCCGAAGGCGGGGAGCTCGTGCCTCAGATCCTGGACATAGTCATGGCCATCTGTCCTGAAACAATTCAAAGATTGAGGCCGTCAAGGCAGCCTTGAGTATCCCTGCTTTTTTCTTTAGGCGTTCCATCTTGCAAGAGCAGCTCCAGGCCGGGAGCAAGGGCTCGAGAATCCGTTGCTCATGGGAAGACGCTGGACGCATGCCGATTGTCCCTCCCTCATGCCGAGGTAGTAGCTGCAATTCTAGACAGCCTAAACAGCTTAAACCATGATGCATTTCGTGCTGCATTGTGCCCTCAATCAGTTGGAGGCTGCGCGTGCAGAGGCCCGTCCGGCAAATCGTGCGAAATGCACCTGCGAACTGCACCTGCGAACTGCACCTGCGAACTGCGCCTGCGAACTGCGCCTGCGAACTGCAAGCGCAAGCTTCTTGGCCAGAAGGAGCCCTTCTGTCGTCCCGACTCGGCAAAGTACGGGCTTTGCAAGCAAAATGCCACAGACCCTCCAAAAGTCCAAAAGTCGAAAGCATGTCAGGCAGGCCGGTGGCGCGAACTGGCTGAAAATCGTGGGCAGGACACTGTCGGGGGTTGGATGCGCAAGAAGTTTGAAGTTCTCCAGACCTTAGAGGCAATGAAGTACAGAGTCGCCTGGTCAGGAGCTGGCTGTCCGATGCTGAGAAAGGGGCAGCTCCAATGTTTCAAGGGTTCAACGGGTTCGGGGCGAAGGCCGAGATGCAAACAGGGCTGGAGTAGAAGCGCGCGTTCTTGCAGCATTGTAGCGTCGTCGTAACTCTGCGCAGCATGCCAACCTAACATCCTCAAATCAGAAGCCCGGAGCCCAAATGAAAACTGCCAAACTTGCCAGTTCCGCGAGGTGCTCAGGGCCCAACTGGCGCGACAAGGGCTTGGAGAAGACTGGCTGCTAAAAACCCAGTTCGTGGGATTGGAGGTTTTGTCTGCTTAGAGACAGTGCGAGACTTGAGGTTGGAGGTGGTTAAGCCGGGCTCGCGGGGTTGGAGGTCCTGTTGAACCCTGAAAAAAAGGCACAAGAGCAGTCCCCGGAGTGTTGTTGCATGGAGATGTTGCTCCTTGCACTCTCTTCCAAGCCCACTTCCGTCCATCGACCTAAGAAACCTCTGCAGGATCCTGCGGCCCTGCGGCCCATACAGGTGGGTGTGGATCCCAAGGCGAGAGGGTTGAGGGGAGCCTCAACGCCCTAATTTGTCAGTTTGGAGCCACTCCCAGAGTCACAGTGCCTGGGAAGCAAGGGCAAATGTCTTCAAAGCTGCTTGCAGGCAGCACAAGCCCGAAGACGGATGAAGGCGACCTTTGCAGGGATTTGCGGGCTTGCATGTTGTACCAGAAGGCAATAATCAATGATACCATGGTAGCATTGATGCAGCTTTGTGCTGGCAGGCTCCTTCAAGGGAAGGCAACACGCAGTACTTTGACATCAGCTCACCGAAGGCGTCTTGTGCCTGGAGTTGGCTGCTCATCCACGTGCCCAAGTGCCAACGCCTGCATGTTTTCAGGAGCCAGTTCGAGAACAAGAGAAGGCGGTGGCAGGCCCTGGCTTTCTGGTTGGTAGCATAGCTTTTGGGAGAGTCTTATGTCTCAGCCTGTGCTGAAAGAGAAGCCGCTTGCGTTGATTGCATGGTCACAATACTTGAGAAGGCTCGAGCATGCTCGAGCCGGCAACTGCCAGCACAATACCACGTGACAAGATGCTGCAGCAACCGACATGGCCAGGTGCAGCTAGGACACCGCCACACCGCACAAGGCCCACAATGCCCGCGATGGCTGGTGGACAACTTCTTCCAACCATGCCTTGGGGAAGCGCGAGGAGTCTGGACTGCGGAAGCTTTTGATAGGAGGCAGGTCATCACTTGTACCAATGCGGTTGAATTGCAGTCGCTCTCCCATTGAGCAACCTCGGCTTCAGTAGGTTCAGTACCTATCACAAGCGAGTCTCTGCCCCAGGTAACTGCCGAGGTGCCAAGCGCTAGCTATTGACTCGTGACACTCGGCAGTTTTCAGCTCGCAATGTATCCTTGGGGCGAGATTTGGTTGTTCTAAGATTCTTCCTGCGTTCTGCCAAACATCCATGCGCATGCCGCATGTGCCACGCGTGATGAATTTCGCGAAGGGGGGTTTTGTGCCGTTGCGGGCAACTCTAGCAAGACATGAGCACCTGTGGAAGTGGGTTTATGGTGTAGAAGTTTAGCTGCTGGTAGAGGAGGCGGGCCAACATGGGCCTGTTGACAGACGGCGTTTCGTCTAGTGGTTTCTGGACTGCGCAGGTCCTCAACACCTCTTGCTGATACAGCCTTCTAGCACCTCCGCCAGCGCACCACACTGACGGCAGCGGCCGCGGCCTTGCGAGTGGGCGCACCCTTGTGGGCCGCTGTGACAGGCAAGCACTAGAGCCAAGCCCCAGCGGTGCTGTGGAGGCACACGAGGCGCTTTGAAGAGTCCGAGCGAGAAGTAGTGTC